CCTGCCCCTGCTCCTGCCCCTGCCCCAACTCCTGCCTTGCCCCTGCTCCTGCCCATGCTCCTCCCCTGCCTCTGTCCAGTCCTAGCCCGTGTTCCTGCCTTGACCCTGCCCCTGCTCCTACCCCTACCCACACCCCTGCCCCAGCCCCTGACCTTTCCCTTTCCCTGCCCTTCTCTGCCACAGCCGCTGCCCATTTCCCAGCCCCAGTTCCTGCCCTGCCCCAGCCTCTGGTCCTGCCCTGCCCTTGCCCCTGCCCCTGCTCAAGCCCATGCCAGTGTCCCAGACCCTGGTCAAGACCCTGTCCCTTCCCCAGCGCCAGCACCAGACCTTGACACTGGCCCTGCCCCAGCCCCTGGCTCTGATTCTGGCTCTAAACCTGCCCTGCCCCAGCCCCTGCCACAGCTCCTGCCCTTGCCCCTACCTGGTCCCTGCTCCTGCCCCAGTCCCTGCCTTGCCCTCCCCCTGCTACAGCCCCTGCTCCTCTTCCTGCCCCTAAACTTGCTCTGCCCCTGCCCTGCCCTGCTCCAGCCCCTGCCCAAGCCCTTGCCCCACTTTCTGCCCCTGCCCCAGCCCCATCCTTCATGCCGAAACCAAGTCCCAGCCCCAGCCCCGAGCCCCAACAGCCGGGCACCAGGAGATGCCAGCCCTCGGGCCTGGGGGGGTTGCCCCCACTGCGTGAGCCAACCGATGGGAGGCTGGGGTGCTCTGTGCTGCCAGCACCCTACCCTCTGCACAAATGCATCTGACAGCCCGGCCCTTGCACCCCTGGGTGCTATCCCAGGCTGGGGGCAGTCTGGCCAGTGCCCGGGGCTGGTAGCGGAAGCATGACTTTGCCAGGGGACGCACATTGGGGTGGGTGGGTGGGGTCCCAGGTGACACTGCTCAGGGTGACACTGCTCAGGGTCATTAAGGCCCACCAGCGGCCCCAGGGTGCACAGCATCACCCTGGACCCACACCCTGGGGTGCTCCTGCGCCCAGGTCCTGCTGCACATAGGGAAGAGACACAACCCTGCCACTGTCCTGGCAATCAGGGGATGGAGAGACAGGTGCCACCAAGGGCTGTGCTCCTGCCCGGGGGAGGTACACGGTGGGCACAGGGACCCTGCGGACACATCTGCTGTGGTCTTGCCATCCTCCCCAGGAGCAGCGACTGCCTGGGAGGAGACAGGAGCCGGCTCCTTCTGCAGCACCAAAGCTGTCCTGCTGTCCTGGATTCCTCTGCAGGAAGGGAACTGCTTCAGGGAGCAAATGTGCTGTCATTAAAGAAAGGACCTGGGATGTTCCCCACCTGAATAACACACCCTGGCTCTACCCATTTGGTTGAGAAAAGGAGGAGAAAACCCCAAATGAAATAAATGCTGGTCCAGCCGCTACCGCGGTGGTTTGGCGGTGAGCATCTTTGCAGGGTGTTGGGGGGCTCAGTGGAATGGGAGGCCTCTGGGTGGGAAGACCCCAGGCTGAGGTGTGGCTGCCTGGACCGCTCACAGCCCTGCCCAGGGGGGGGGGGGGGGGGGGGGGGGGGCGATGATTCCCGGATATCTGGGATCCCGCTGCCGCACTTCCAGGCGGGAACATATAAATATTTCAGTGGAGTAGCCGAGCCCTGTCAGGTTGCATTTGCTTCTGGCAGGGTGAGTGCTGGGAGAGGGGGAGGAAAGGAGGGAGAGAAGATGCTCTCAGAAGATCCGTCATCTCCCGGGAGACGGGATGCTCTTGCCTCCGGGACCGGTGCAGGGCGGTGGTTCGGCCCCTGTTGTCCTGATGGCCGGGTCTCACCCCATAAGCAGATCTCGGGGGCTGCTGCCAGGCTGTGCCGAGGGGAAGACGGGATTCGGCAATTTTGCTCTGAGCGCAGCGGGCAGCGGCACAACCCAGACTGTAACAAATCCCCTCCCCCCCCGTAAAAAATGGGGGCCAGAAATAAATCCAAGCAGCTCTGGGCAGCGAGGCGTTAAATCGCTGGGGGGAGCCAAGGCGGTGGGCAGCGCCTCCCCGGGGAGGCTGCCGAGCCGGCCCGGCGGGATGCAGGGCGAGGGGCCCCGCAGCCCAGAGGCGACGGTAGATGGGCGGGGAGCTGACCCCGGCGGGCAGGAGCCGGAGAAGGGCTCCCCCCGGCGGGGGCTGCGCGGGCAGGATGCCCAGGCGAGACTTTCGGGGGGACAAATTCCCCCCGTCTCACAACCACCGGCTGCCAACGGGGCTCTGGCACGGGGGCGGCCGGGGTCCTCCTCCTTCTCCTA